GACCTCATCTCTACAATAAATCAAAAATTAGCCAGGCGTGATAGCGCACGCCTGTAGTTCTGGCTACTTGGAAGGCTGAGGCAGAAGTGTCGCTGGAGCCCAGCAGGTTGAGGCTGCAGTGACTGGGAGTGTGCCACTGCACTCCAGTCTGGGTGACAGACTGAGACTCTAACTCAAAAAACAAAACAAACAAACAAAAAAACTCACTTGCCTCCCCTACTCAGCCAAGCAACCCTTAAGGTCAGGGACTCATCTAACATGCACCTGTGTCTCCCAGGTACAATATGAGAGGCAAATGGGTTGCATACCATTCTGCAAAGTCAACAGGCAGTTGCCCAATTGAAATGACTTTCTGAATTCACCCATTTTCACACTGAGGAGGGAACATGTGTAGAGAGGACCCAGTGATACAAAATAGATAGAGCAGAAGTTAGGCCTACCCTCTCACTGGAATCCTCACCACCACAATATGTGGTCCCAAAACCAAGGGAACCCAGTGATAATCAGACCCAGGACAAAGACCAATGTTTAAGCCCTCAAAACTTTCTGTGCCCTTGGTTTGGTGAGTTGCTGACACTGTCAGAGCCTACAGCCAATGGAAAGAAGTCTCTTAGCCTCCAGTACCTGGATGTTCAGAGGGATGAAGGAGACCAGGCTATAGTCTTCGATGAGCTGCACCAGTTTCTCATTGAGCTGGCGGTAGTGACGGAAGAAAGGGTCAGAAGCCAGGTGGTCAAGCAGGTAGGAAAGGTCCAGAACCTCTGTGTAGTAGTCCAGGTTGAAGGCTAAGGAGAGAAGGTAATGTTCAAGAGCAGCTGGCATCAGGCTAAAGACCTGAGAACTGGGACTATATTTTCTTTTTCCTTTTATCTTCATTCATTCAAATATATGTTGATACAATAAAATGAAGTTACGAAGAAAAATACTTGGTTTCACCTGCTGACTCTGCCATTTAATAGCTACATTGGTAGGTATCCACCTCACTGACTGTTTTGAGGACTAAATGCTATATAAAACCCAGTGCCTGTTACAGAGAAGTGCTTGATCAATGTTAGTCAATGATGATACCAAACATGTACCAAGAACTGTGCATGATCCTCACTCATGGAGCTCACAGCTAGGTAACATCCCCAAGACCTAGCATACACACTGTAAGGACTCTGTAAATGCTGGTCAAGCTGAGCATGATGGCTTATGCCTATAATCCCAGCACTTAGGAAGGCGGAGGCAAGAGGATTGCCTGAGTCCAGGGATTCAAGACCAGCCTGGGCAACTTGGCGAGATCTTGTCTCTACCATAAGTCAAAAAATTAGCCGGGTGTGATGGTGCATGCCTGTGGTTCGTTACTTGGAAGGCTGAGGCAGGATTGCCTGATCCCAGAAGGCTGAGGCTGTGGTGGCCATGAGCAAACTACTGCACTCCAGCCTGGGAGACAGAGTGAGACTCCTACTAAAAAAAAAATTTAAAAAAAATTAAGCATTTGGGCTCTTTAGCAGATTTGTCCAAAAATGAGCTGAGGACTCTGAAGTGGCCCTACCTGGACAAGGCGCTGACACGTAAGTTTCCCCCTTCCCTCCTGCTCATGTGCTGGTCATTTTAGTTGTCTTGTCTAGGTTCCTTTGTGGCCAGAGATGCTACTTAGGGAACAATGCCTCAAGCTCAGGGAAGCACTAATTTGGCAGAAAAAATGCATTGGCCAGTGGGACCCTAGGCAACCCCCCTGCCTTATACCAACTTGCTTCTCTCTAAACCTTACTTTGTGCCTGGCCTTCCACCCCATATCTGTCTCTCTGCCATGTGAGAATACAGCCTCCTTCTGTGAAGCCAAAAAGCAGACACTAGATGTGTCAGTACCATGATCCTGACCTCCAAAACTGGGAAATAAATGTTTGTTGTGTAAGCCATCTGGTCTACAGTATTTTTATTATACCAGCCTGAAAAGACAAGCCCTTTACCCCTACTGGACCCTTTGCCTATAATAGTCATCCCCTGGATGACTCCTCCTCACTACTCATGTCGCAGCTCACTGCCTCAGAGCAGTGAGGCACTGCTCACTTCCCTCACTGTCACATCGCCTTATTTTAATTACTTTGTAATGCATATCACCATCTGCAGCTCTTTTGTCACCAAAATCTACAACAGTATCTGGCACAGACAGGCAAAAAATAAGTGGGCAAGAATCAGACCTGCCTGTGGCTACTATCACCAGACCATGGGTGGTTCCAGAGGTAGCTTCCTTCAGCTGAGATGTCTGCTTCACTCCAGTCCAGTTGCTGCCCTACTCCTTGCCTGCCGGGAACAGGAGCTCTTACCCAGCTTCCCATAGTGCTCAATAAGGTCCATCTTGGAGAGGAGGTTGACATGGGGCAGCTCCACGTGCAGCATGGTGGCCAGGGAGGTACACAATACTGAAATGAACTTGGCCGGGTCTGTGCAGTAGTGAGAATCCACAAGGTGGACAGCAGTCAGCTGGGAGAGGAGGAAGAGACAGGGTGACGGGGTGAGAGTGGTCTGGGGAAGCAGGGAACATCAGTGCCTACATCTTCCCTAACAGGTCAAGGGCTTGAGGAGAGTACAAGTCTTCCCCATTAATCTCCTTCTGCTTCAGTTCCGTTCTAATAGCCACTCTCATTTTCTTCTCCCAGATATATAAGGCATTTTTTTTTCTTATAAGAACCTGTTGTCTCCTAGTGGGCAAGAAGTTCAAATCTCACTGCATCTAACTCCGCTCTTTCATTTACTTTTGCCCACCAACTTACAACAAACTCACCATACCACTTTCCACACAACCTCTTCCTTACTTCCAAAACCACAAGCTGCCTCCTAACACATCCATTTTACACATGAGAAAACTGAGGAGCAGAAAGATGAACTGACTTACCCAGACCACACAGCGAGTCAGTATCAGAACCTGAATTCAGAATCACACCTGTTTTATCCCAAAGCAACTCGGCCCCTACCTCGCTGTGTGACATGGGAGCATAGCACCTGTCCTCCTCCCTGTCTCAGTTCCTCCATCTGCAAAATGGACCTACCCGACCCGAGACGCACCCTGAGGTCCCACTTCGCCATTTGGGAGAAGATGCTGCGCAAGGCGCCGTGATGCGTGCAGAGTTCCACCTGGCCCGGGCAGTCGAAGAGAAAATAGTGGCCGCGGAGAGGGTCGAGCTTGTCACGCAGCCAGTCCAGATTGGCCTCCAGGTACTCCATGCAGTAGAGCAGGCCGCCGTTGGGCCCCAGCTGCAGCGCGTCCATCACGTCACCCAGCCCCACCAGCTCGCCCACGTTCACAGCGCACTCGTAGGGCAGTCCCTCGTTGGCCGGGTCCAGGTTCACCACGGCCACACGCCGGCCCAGCGCGCGCAGGAACTCACTCATGCCCAGGCAGTATGTGGTCTTCCCCGAGCCGGGCGGGCCGATCACCGCCTGCCCGAAGGCCGTGGTCGGAGCAGCCCCGGCCATGGGCGGAACGCAGCCGGAGCTGAGGTCAGCTCAGCTGGAAAAGTGGGTAACCGCGCCAGAGATGAGACCGAGGGCAGAGGGTCACCGACGTGCACCTTGTTGGGGGCCGGCGGTGGTATCCGGGGACCGCCTCAGGCGGAACAGCAGGAACCCACGCTGCGCAAGAGGAGCTAAGGGGCCGGTACGGAAGAGAACAGTTCTCGATTTCCGGACGGCGTCGGAAGCGGTGGGCCCCTGAAAGGAAGTCCCGCCCTCACGGTGGTGACGTCGCACGGCGCCGAGGAGCGTTGCAAAGTAGTCGTGTATTTCCTGCAGGGGTGGCTCGGACGTGAGGGCTTCGTAGGGAGATCTCTCCCGGGACTTCCCGACTTTCCGTTAGATTCGAATTAGAAGAGAAAGGAAGATCCAGTAGCAAACTTCTTTATTCTTCCGTTACGTCGCAGACCCAGGCCACCTCCCGCGGGCTCTCCACTGCCCGATCCCAGCCAGTGAGAGTAGAGGCGGTGGGACGCCCTCCCCAAGACCCAACCACCACAAATCCTTTTTTTTCCTGGATCCCTTTCCCTCTTTCTGGCCTTCATGGTGATCCAGACGCCCCAAGGAAGGTTGCTGATAACCTCACTCAATCCGCTGGTCAAGGTACTGCGGGAGGCAACAGGGGCAAGCCGGAACAGGTTAAGAGACCAATGAAAAAGAGGTCACGAAGCTCTGATATACAATCGGTGAGGGGTTGTAAAACTTCCCTTGAGGTAGAGAACGAGTAGGCAAGCTCAGAGCAAAGCACCCTGAATAAACCTCAAAGACTGCTGCTGTCAGACTCCTTTCTGCATCTGTGGTAGATGAGACTGGGGCAGATGGTTGTCCCTGTGCAGCTATGAGTGACTCTGACCACAAAGACCCCAACCCAGTCATTCAGGCTCTGAGGGGCTGTCTGAGGCACAACTAGAACCCCTCACAAAAGCCATGTCTGTCCGAAACTTCATGCTAGTTGGTGGCTGTCGGCGGAGCAGTGACTCTCTCTGGTCCTGGGGTAGAGGCTCATCATAGATGGTTGAAATGAGCCCCAAGCCAATTCCACGCGGCCTTTTCAGTTGCCCAAATGGCTGCAGCTTCTCTCCATGGTACCTGGATAAAAAAGGGCTCTCAATGAGAGGGACTGCTCTCTTTCAAAGCCCAGTAAAGGGATGTAGCTACTACATATCTGGTTTATCCCAAAGCAGAGATTTTAAATATGGATCTTTGTTTCCAGCCCCCTTATCTAGCCATTGACAGTGCCAGCAACCAGATGCTTCAGATACAACTTTAATTCTGTCACTACAGACTCTCTAGTGGCAATCATTAAGTTCAAACTCCTTAGACTCAGAGAATAACTCTCAGGGGATTAATGATCTTGCTAATAATAATAAGGCTTAGGGCTTGGTCTTAAAAAAAAAAGTGGCAGATCCACTTTTTCCTTCTAACTCTGCTTTAAAGTTCATCTCTTAGGGGTGAACTTAGGAGCACTTATCCCAAAACCAGTGGGAAGAGAAAAACCAGAGCACAGCTGAAAAGCTTGGGTTCCCCAGAAGTCCTTCAGCCACACTCACCCCAATCCACGCTTGCATCTGGGGTTCTGACCATCACCATCCAGAGCCTCAGGCACCCCGGAGCACCTGCTGCCCAGGCCCTGGCCCTCAGCCCAGCCTTGCCGCTCCATCACCTTCCGTCCAATGCCCTGCAGAAAGATGGCACAAGACTCAAGAAATGAGTTTCCTACTGGGAGCAGGTGGGGACGGGGATGGGAGAAGAAATTGAGGTAGAGAAGGAAAAGAGAGGAATCAATGGAGTAGGCATAGTACTCACTGACCTTGGTGTGACGCTCAAAGGTGCCCACTTGCTGTTCAATCACAGAGCCATCTTCTTGGCCATCACGGAGTCTCTGTTCCAGACGCATTTGGACAGAGTCTCGGGCGTCCTTGTCTCCACCATCTGAGGAACCAGAGCCCAGTTTGTAGGAGAGTTCCTCTCAGCAGAAGAGGTGAAAATCAGGTTTCTAGGGTCCTTCACAAGATTTACTTATTCATTTTCATGGTGTCCTATTGTCATCTCACTAGGCTGGGAGCTCATCAGAGTAGGAACCATGACTCTCCCCCATCTTACAGATGAGACTGTGGTGCAAAAAAGTCACAGAGCCAACAAATGATAGAGACAGGATTAGAATCCAGATCTCTCCCCCCAAACCAGGTCATTTCCCACCCTACACCCTTGGTCCTTTTTTTTTTGAGTTGGAGTCTCACTCTGTCACCCAGACAGGAGTGCGGTAGCATGCTCGACCTGCTGGGCTCAGGCAATGCTTCTGCCTCAGCCTTCCAAGCAGCTGGAACTACAGGCACACACCATCACGCCCAGCTAATTTTTCTTTATTGTAGAGACAAGGTCTCACCAAATTGCCCAGGCTAGTCAGGTAATCCTCTTGTGTCCACCTCCCAAAGTGCTGAGATTACAGGTGTGAGCCACCACACCTGGCTTTTTTTTTTTTTTGAGTAGGAATCTCTGTCACCCATGCTGTAGTACAGTACCATGCTCATGGCTACCACAGCGTTGACTTGCTGGGCTCAGGTGATCCTTCTGCCTCAGCCTTTCAAGTAGCTGGAACCACAGGTGCATACCACCATGCCTGGCTAATTTTTTTTATTTATTGTAGAAACAAGGTCTTGCCAAGTTGTCTAGGCTGGTCTCCAACCCCTAGACTCAGGTAATCTTCTTGCCTCTGTCTCCCAAAGTGCTGGGATTTCAGGTGTGCTTTTTTTTGAGACATGGTCTTGCTCTATGTTGTCCAGGCTGACCTTGAACTTCCAGACTCAAACAATCCTCCCACTTCAACCTCCCCAGTAGCTCATACAGTAGGCACACACCGCTGCACCTGGCTTCCTAGGCAATTTTTGTCTCCCAAATCTAAACTCTTGCCAGAGCCTGGGCTTCTGACTATTCTATTCTACTAAGGCCTGCCCATTAGACCCAAAGCTCTGAGGGCTGTCTCCATGTGTCCCTGCTCCTCTACTAAGAAAGGAAAAAGAGGCTAGGCATGGGGCTCACTCCTGTAATCCCAGCACTTTGGGAGGCTGAGGCAGGAGGATCACTTGAGCCTAGGAGTTTGAGACCAGCCTAGGCAACATAGTGAGACGTCATCTCTATAAAAAATAAATAAAATTAAGCTGGGCGCAGTGGCTCATGCCTGTAATCCCAGCACTTCGGGAGGTTTAGGTGAGAAGATTGCTTGAGTCCAGAAGTTCAAGACCAACCTAGGCAACATAGAACTTGTTTCTATAAAATTTTTTTTTTTTTTTAATTAGCTGAGCACAGTGGTGCACATCTGTAATTTCAGCTATTTGGGAGGCTGAGGTGGAAGCAATGCCTGAGTTCAGGAGGTTAAGGCTGTGGTGAGCCGTGATCATGCCACCACACTCCAGACTGGGCAACAGAGTGAGAACCCAACTCAAAAAAAAAAAAAAAAAAAAAAGGAAAGGGCTCTGTCCACAACTAGCACTTAATATACTACAGATGTTTTAAGAGAGAAACCCTCTCATTGGGCTACTCCAAGGGAGCTGATCCCGTCTCAGCTTCTGTTAAGCATCTCTGGCAAAGTGTCACTGCAAGGCCAGACCACCAATTCTACCTCCCAGTACTGCCACCCCTTGCCCAGTACCTCTGTCATAGTATACACTCATGTCCACGTCCCAGTCATCAGCTGTCTGTTCATCAAAGTCTGTAGAGATATAAAAGCATCCAGGAGAGTGGGTTAAGGACTTTCAGTTCTATTAAGAGCTAAACCTAGAGTTAGACATAAGTTACAGAACTTAGGGCTTTTGTTTGTATTTTTAAATTGCTCCTCTGGGAGGGTTATTCATAACTGAGAAAGTGGGGAGGTGCTTTCCCTCCATCCCACTGATCCCCCACTCCTAAAAAGGACTGGTCTCATATACCATAAAGGTTAGTCTGTTCCCTAGCCTTTTGTTTGGGTTCACCGCCAGGGAATCCACTGTGTGGATCACCCCTGCCCTTGCCTGGGTACCCGCATTACCTCCTTCTTCCTCCTGCCAAAACTGGGCATCAGTGTAGAACACCAGGCCAGAGCCACCTTTCTCCCACTTGAGCTCGATCTCCTCCTCAAAGAGCCGCTCAGTGGTCCGCTCCTGCCCAGTCACATCTTCATGCAGCGCTTCATGCCGCTCCCACTCCTCACCCCGGTCATCATCCTGGGAGAAGGCAGGGAGAGGTGACCTGTCAGTCTAGCTTCCTGACTTCATGCCCAGAGGGAAGAAAGCTTGGGGCATAGGAGATGTGTAAAGCTGGCTTCAGTTCTACTCCTTCAAGTTTCTCCAAGAAGCAGCAGATATTTGGCCCTTGACCAATATATCTCTCCATCATCTGTTGTTGCGCAACATTGTTTGCTCCTTCCCCACAAGCCTGACTACCATCTCTGTGCTGTTGACCATGCTCTCCTGCCTGAAGTACCTGGTCTCCTCTCTCACAGTTTTCTTCTCTCCACTTGGTTAAATCCTTCTGATCTCTCGAGTCTTACAGCCTGCATGAAGTCCCTCACACTTAGGCCCACAGGTTCCTCACTAGTCTCACAGCCTTTATATGTGATGCCACAAAGAAAGGAGGGACAAGAACTAACACAAGACTTACTGTCTAATGTGTGTCAGGCTCTTCCTATAACTTAGCTCCTTTAATCATCCCAACACCCCATGTGGTAAGTACCATTATTCCCATTCTACAGATGAGGAAACCTAGATTCAGAAGAGTAAAAAAGTTATTTTTCCAAGGCAGTATGAAAGAGTGGCAGAGCCAGCGTGCAAACCCGGGTTGCCACACCATGCAGCCTCTCGAGATGCTGGTTCTTTTTCTTCAGGGAGACTGTAGGCTCTTTGAGGGCAGGAAATGAGTTTTAGAATGTCTGAATCCCACACTAGCCCTTTGCTTACAACTGCTTGACTGGACTTGTGAAATGATAGGATGACTCTTGGTTTGAAATGCTGGGGGCCTTCGGGAGCTAGAGAAAAGTCAGAATGGTACCACAATGAGGATGTGGCCCGATATGTTAGCAACTCTTGTCCAGGGCTTTGAAACATGAGTTTTTTTAATCCAGAATACACATTAAAAATAAGTTTTCCCAACAAGTCACATTTACTTAAACAACCAAATTTGGAGAAAAGACCCAAAGAAATGTCTATCTCACTGACAGAGTGGAGCTAGTGTTCAATCCACCAACTCTAGGTCAGAAACAGAGGTGACTGCTCAGCCACATGATGAAAGAACACAGAGGTTAGAAAAGCAAAAAAGGGGACTAGGTTCATTCTACTTCTACTTCCTTGGATAATCTTAGGCAAGTCATTGCACATGTCTTGGTTGGTACCTTTTTATCTGTGAAAAGGAACTGTCCAGCCGGGCATGGTGGCTCACGGCTATAATCCCAGCACTTTGGGAGACTGAGGAGAGGGGACTGCCTGAGCCCATGAGTTCAAGACCATCCTGGGCAACTTGGCAAGACCTCATCTCTACAATAAATCAAGAAAAATTAGCTGGGTATGATGGCATGCGCCTGCAGTTCCAGCTACTTGGAAGGCTGAGGCAGAAGGATCCCTGAGTCCAACAGGTCGAGGCTGTGGTGGCTATGAGCATGCCACTGCACCCCAGCCTGGGCAACAGAGTGAGACTCTGACTCAAAAAGAAAATGAAAAAGAAAAAGAACCCTTCTTATTTAATTTTTTTTTTTTTTTTTTTTT